TCTAGTGTCCCGATTACTGTTCACATCAATGCTCTAATCTGTCGTATAAGGAGAGACAATGTGTTACTTGATTGCCTTTTACAATGTTGCATGCTAGGCATATGATGAACTTGATATTTAGATTTTGTTCCTCATTTTTCTTTTGTGATAAGTTACTTGGACTTGGGAACTAGGAACTAGGTTTTGGTATCTTCAGTAACACCCCCCCAACACACACACGTTTTTTCCATTTATTTAAAGGATCTTTCAGGGATCATATACCTATACCCATATTCGAAAATATGTCGGACACAAGTAAGTGTTGGATACGGATTCTTTTAGAAAATTAGTCGGAGCAAAATAGGTTTTATATTTAAGTCGGCCTCGTTTTTCTTCCACTTAAATATTTTAGTGGACACGTTGAAGAGTTTCAAAGTTCAGATTTTTTCCCCAGCTGTTTGAACCGACTAGTCTTGCAACTTGGCCTTGTTAATTAGTATATGAAAAACATGGTACTTCTAAGTACTGGCTTTTGTTCTTTTTACTCACGTTATCAGCATTTTTTATTAACAGGTCACTTAGGCGGCATGGTCAATCTTTACAGAAAGTAAACAGAGGCATGATACTAGCCTTTTACTCACGTTATCAGCATTTTTTATTAACAGGTCACTTAGACGGCATGGTCAATCTTTAGAGAAAGTAAACAGAGGCATGATACTAGCCCCTTTAGTAGGAATCATTGTGAATTTGTTGGATGCTAGCACGGACTCCAAATTCAAGGAGCAGAATGATGTTGTGGATGTGTTTGCAAACATGGATTGCCCTGAAACAATGCATTATGGTTTGCAGTACATGTTAGAATATAATTGGGTTAGTACTGTTAGCTCTAATATCCTCAATAGTCCATCATCTTTCTTTTTGCTCCACGGAAATTCTTTTATTTTCTTTTCATTTCAAGGTTTCTTTTGTTCAGTCTTGATTCTTTTACACCTTAATTTTGCAGGGTACATCTTTTAGGGGAGAAACCTACGTGCCTAAACTTCGTTCACTAGAGAATTTCTTGACAACACTCATCAGCCATAGTGATTCAAAGAAGATCGAGGGACTTGAATGTGGGGAAACCGACGCCGATGATGGCACATGCTGCATCTGTTATGCTTCGGAAGCCAATACAAAGTTCGTACCGTGTTCCCACAGGTCTTGCTATGTGTGCATAACGAGACATCTTTTAAATTGTCAAAGATGTTTCTTTTGCAATGCCACTGTGTTGGAAGTAGTCAGAACCATAGAAAATGCAGTTGAAAGATAAGTAATAATCTTAAATTGTTAAAAGGAAAACGGGGAAGAAAGGAAGAGAAGGTGAAAAAAATAGAGTTTTTTTTTTGTTCATATTATTACATATGCTTTTGTTGTTATTAACCATATTGTCATGTAAGGTGGGATGGAGCAAGTCCGAGGGGGTTTGAATTTCAGCATTGTTCAATCAATCATTCCCTTTCATAAACTTCAGGCTGCAGTTTCATTACGAATTTTGTAGGTCGAGGCCATATTATTGTGTAAATATGAGAGATGTAAATGGTAAGGAAAATTATATATAAAGAAACGAGTGGTTTTTTGTGTGTATATATTAGCTCCTTTGTTGGAACTTCATTAACATTTGGTTCATGTATCCTTTGTTCAAAAGGAACGTTAGATCGTCCTTAACCCGATATGATTTTGGCCTTTTCCCCAACTTTATCCCCCAACTTCATCTGTTTAATCATTTTAACCCTTGAGCCATTCTTGTGGGAGAGTCTATAATACAATTTGATAATATAATGTTAAAATAACACGTAAACCAGTTGCAACTAAAAATATTATTGAGAGCCTAAAATTTTAGGTTGAATATGGTCACATTTTATGTTAAACGCCTTTTTCATAACATTTTTGTTATAATCAAAATTATTATAAACTAAATAATTTTTTCTGCTGTAAATTTTTAAACTACCGTGATTTAATATTTTCGATTGTAATTAATATTTTTATAAATTCATATAACTATTTTAGTTTTTTTTGTATATAAAAGTTTAAGTCGGTTAACTTTTTTGATTTAGGGTTAACTTTTTTGATTTAGGGTTAGGGTATATTTAAGACTCAATTGTGATTTATATAAAAATATACAATTTGTCTGTGATAGTGATAGGATTCAAACTTGGTCTTAAAAGCTCAAATTCTTAAATCTTAACCACTTGTACCAACACTCGTTCGTATGTAACTCTTTTAGTTAAATATGTTGAAAATTGTTTTAGATTAGTTTTATTTTATTTTATATTATGAATAATTATAAAAATTCTCTATTGAGAGCTTGATTATATGTTTAGAAAGAAGAAACGCAGAAAGGAGAAAAGATGGCACTGATTTTATCGCCTCAGTCTCCGCAGCTATTTCCCTCGCCATTCAAACATAATTCCTCACTCAGCCTGACCCAACCATGTAATCTTCCAACCCGACCCATTTCACGAATTTCTTGCGCCGCCCGACCCAGGAGGAAACTCTTCAAGAGCCGAGGACAACGAAGCCAAGGAACTGGTTCGGGTGTTAATGCGAAGTATCAGCGATAAAGAGCCGCTGGTTAAGACATTGAGCAGATACGTTCGAGTTGTGAGATCCGAGCACTGTTTTCTTCTGTTTGAAGAGCTCGGCAAAACTGATAAATGGCTTCAATGCCTTGAGGTTCGATCGTTCGTTCGTTTTTTTCATTTTAGGGTTTAGGGTATTTCGAATTGCGTTTTTGGGGTCTTTTCTCGATATGGGTTTTGGTCAAAACATTGAAATTCGAAAACTTAAAACTAGAAGTTCGAGTCTTCCATATTCATATGTTTAATGGAAGTTAATGACGAAAGTATTTGATATTCGCCTGAATTATGGCAAGCTCAAATTAGATACAGGGCCGTAGCTGATGGATGAACTAAATCTGTTTTAATTACCTGTATATATACACTGTACCTTTCAGGTTTTCAGATGGATGCAGAAACAACGGTGGTACATTGCCGATAACGGGGTTTATTCGAAATTGATTACCGTTATGGGAAAGAAAGGCCAGACTAGAATGGCGATGTGGCTCTTCTCCGAGATGCGCAACAGCGGTTGTCGGCATGATGCTTCGGTTTATAACGCCCTTATCACTGCCCACCTCCATTCCCGTGATAAATCGAAAGCTTTGGACAAAGCTCTGGGGTACTTCAACAAGATGAAGGGAACCGAGCGGTGTAAACCGAATGTTGTCACTTACAATATTCTTTTGAGAGCCTTGCTCAAGCTCGGAATGTGGATCAAGTTAATACTTTGTTTAAGGATCTTGCCGAGAGCAGTATTGCTCCTGATGTATATACCTTCAATGGCGTGATGGATGCCTATGGGAAGAACGGGATGATCAGAGAGATGGAGTCCATTCTTTCTCGGATGAAAAGTAATCAGTGTAAGCCGGATATTATCACGTTTAATGTGCTTATTGATTCTTATGGCAAGAAGCAAGAATTTGATAAGATGGAACAAGTGTTTAAGAGCTTGTTGCGGTCTAAGGAAAGACCTACCCTCCCTACATTTAATTCGATGATCATAAACTATGGCAAGGCCCGGCTTAAAGACAGAGCAGAAAGTGTTTTCGAAAAGATGACTGATATGAAATACGCACCGAGCTTCATCACATACGAGAGTCTTATAATGATGTATGGTTTCTGCGACTGTGTTTCTCGGGCAAGGGAAATATTTGATGGGATTGTCAACTCCGGAAAGGAAATAAAAGCTTCAACCCTCAATGCCATGCTTGAAGTTTACTGCATAAATGGTCTACCTATGGAAGCCAATAGGCTGTTTGATAATGCAAATAACATTGGGGTGGTTCCCGATTCGTCGACATTCAAATTTTTGTATAAGGCCTACATGAAGGCTGACATGAAAGACCTTGTGCAGAAGTTGGTGAAAGATATGGAGAGAGACAGAATAGTCCCGAATAAGAGGTTCTTCCTAGAGGCACTTGAAACTTTTGGATCTTTACTAGCTAATCAAGGTTCTTTTCAAGCCACAAGGAGTGGCAGGCCCGGGTCTAATGCAAAAACCGCGGTTAAATTAATTGATTGATCTGTTTATTTATTCTTCGGTTCTCTTTCCAACTAAGCCTGATCAGAGCAACATATGGTTTTTGGTTTTGGCTATATTGCAGCACTGATCGAATGTTTACCCCCACAAAATGCGGTATATGTATCTGACTTTTCTCTTATTTTCGATGCTTATGTTGTCGATCTGTGCATAATTTTTCCATTTAGAATGTACAATTCTATTCTGCAACATGTCAACAAAGGTAGCAGATTTAAGTATATATATCACGTGTTCGATCTGCATTGCGTTTCATAAGTAGTTAACAAGAAATTTAGCATCCTTTCGATATATGATCCAGTGGGAACCTTGTATGCCTGTAAATTTGTGTTTCTTTTATCACTGTGGTGTGGTTCGCTGCGAAAGTTTATTTTTCGGACATCTTCAATGGAAATTAACCGGATCAGTTTGTTTCCTATTTTAGGGTAACAAACCGAATCTATCTTCTGGTTTATTCCTAATTCAGGCCGTGTTAGACGGCAATAAATGCAGAACATTGCTCGGATTGGAGGCTTCCATACATCAGTTGTAGTGACAGTTCGGGCATTCTATCTTTCTTGAATAATAAGCAGGTAATTAACGGCTGTGTTGTTTCGAGTCTTCATTTTTTTTCCCGAAGTATATTTGTATCCGACAGTCGTATTTAGAGTATGCAAATGAGTGACTGACTTGAAAAAAATACGTATACAATATGTATATTAACTTATTAAAAGCTTTCTAACTATAAAATGACTTAAATATAAAATGTAATTATGATGTGAATATGCGAACTGTTGGATCTATTTATACGTCCAAATTCGAAGGTAAATCTGATGTTTTAGATAAAAATATTTGCGAAAAATTTAGATTGAGAAAATGAGACAGTTTATGTCTAAATTGGAATTCTACATCTGTGCAAGCTCTTGCTCCAATTGAATCAGCTTTAAACGACTATTTTCCAACTGTTGAACATAAGCCTGAAATGCAATGTTATATGAAGTTAATTACAACGATTCACATGAGCTCTATCTGTTGCTATTCATGACCATATCATATCCTACCTTTTTCCGCAATCGGCTTTTACGAGCAGCCTCACGGTTTTGCGCAAGCCGTCTTTGTATCTATAGATTTTTACAGTAAAATGCACAAAGAGATTAGACCGTTATTTAAGGTAAACAGATGATCTGCAAACATAAAAAGTTAGACAGCAGCTAAATCATACTGCTTCGGAAAAGAAATGAAAATGTTCAAATCAGAACCATCTCAGAAGGAGATTATACGGACATAATAATGGTGTGCATGCATGTTTTCTCTTCCTTACACGAAACCAAATATTTTTCAGTGTTCCTATATCAATTTATCTGCATTAATTTTCATGATCTTTACACTGTGGGTTGCGTGGGTTCACAATTACGTTCTTAAAGGGCAGGATTTCTGGCAATTTAAGGCTGGATCAAACGTTAGTTGGGGCATCAAAAGAATTTTAAAATTGAGAACTACTGCTTTCCCTTTAATCGCTTCTGGTTTCATGCGTACAAAGGAAATCTGTGAGAACATTCAGATGCAAGCGCAGAAGGTTATTTGGCAGCATCTAATATGGTATCCATTGCATATTCCAAAGCATAGCTTGATTGCTTGGATGACCATTTTGAATCGACTACCTACAAGAGATCGTTTACAAAAAATGGGAATTAGCACGAATGGTCTTTGTATAAACTGCAGCGCCCATCAAGAAACGAGAGATCATCTTTTCTCTAATTGCTCCTTGGCTGCTGGTATATGGAAATCTATCATTATCATGAATGGGATGAACTTTTCTGCTTTGACATGGGATGAAATGGTAGCTCGTGCTTGTTCCTCTTGGAAAGGAAAGTCCCTCTTAACTACCATTTTGAAGATATATTGGAATGCTTTCATATATTTCTTGTGGCAAGAACGGAACCACAGATTATTTCAGGGCCGTTACCGATCTGCTGATGTTATTCTTAAAGATATTGTTGATGTAGTTGCAATTCGTCTTAGGGGCAAGACCAAAATCGACTTGATAATACTAACTTCTTTCTTTGTAATGCTTGGGGTATAGTCTAGCCAATCTTTGGTTGTGTAATTAAGCTGTCTTTGTATTGTTGATTGGTTGTTGTTTGTAACTAAACCTTGATATTTGGGTAATAAAATTCTGAATTATCCAAAAAAAAAAAAAAGTGATATTAGACTAATAGCCCAAACTAATAGCAGGAAAGATGTTGATCATGCAGCATGTGATCCAGCAAAATATTTTTTCCATTAAAATGAGAAAAAAAGAGAGCATAATACACAATTCAAACTTACCTTCTCAATAGGTTTAGTTGTTTCTTGATCGTACTTGTTAGAAGGTGCAAGCATCTCATGTGAAACAGTTTCAGACCGGAAAAATTCAAATAACAAAGGTTACTTATCACCAAAATCAGATGACTTATTTAACAATTAATCAAAGAATAGTATGTCCGAAACTCGCACCTTGTTCGGTGTCTTGTTATCCACTTCGACAATCATTGATACAGGTGCATGCAGATGGCTATCAGTATCAAAAATTTTCTCCCCACATACCAACCTGTTGGATGGGATCATAGATATCCACCTTTCTTGAAGGTACAAACTGCGATTCCATGCTTCTTGAATCGAAATCAGCAGCTTTCGCATAAGTTGAAGTAAAAATGGAGCCTGAAAGGAACAATACAGGGGCGTGTATGAACTTTACTCCACGAGTAAAAAGGACAGGTGTCATAGCAAACATGTGGTAAACAACAGAGAGGATTGTAAATTTTGTTAGATAAGCCTTCCACAAAAATGAATAAACAAAAGGAATCCATGGAAAATTTTCATATCCTGATTTGTTAGGCAATTGAATCAGCCTCAGTGACCTCTAAAACCCGACATGCAAGTTCACTAGAAGAATTAAAGAAATCAATAAGAGTGAACTCGTTCTGCCATGGAACTCAAACATGCATGTAATCAAAGAATTTTGATCTGCTAACCACCAAAAAATGAAATCAAATCAACCATTTCAATCTAAAACCCGATTTTACAGTTTCAAGTTCAAAAGAATCATTTAAAATCTCCAACAGTCATCAACCTTGTAACTATTTACCGTCTCCAAAATATATGTGTGTGCTTGTTCATCTCTCTGTTTTCCCTCTTTGACTTGCTTTTGCTATTCAAAAGCTATAATACCCGGGTTTTGGAGATAATTTCCAATACGGGCATGCATCCAACATGGACTGGACTCAAGTAGTTTAGAGAAAATGAAGAAGTGTGGGACTCCGAGAAACATAATTCAAAAGTAAAGTTGACATTACCACCTTAATCTATTTCATTTTTGCCACTAGTAGCTGCTGAAAAAGAAACTTGATAATAACCTTTCAAGTTACTTAATACTTTGAAACCGCAGTTAGACACTTGCATACGAGCTTAGCAAATAAGGACGATAAATCTACGGTGACAATGGCGTAGTGAATAAACGACCACTGATATTCTATCTAACTTCACATGTTCATACTGTTTATATAGTTCCAAGTGTCGTTACAACAGGTTTCCCGCTAAAACTTGAGCTCCAAAAACAGCAAAAAAGAAATTCACTGATGAAAACAAAGGATCGCTAGCTAGCTTCTTCTTCTCCCTTCAAACTGATCCCATCTTTCTCCTCTATTTTTTATTTTGTTTTATTATTACCGTAATGCGATTAACCCGAGTTCCGGTTTGACTTAAAATTTTAAGATTGAATCGTTTGTAGAATTTCATTGGACTGTCGTTGAGATCATTTGACGTTTTTTTCGAAGACACTGTCTTCTAGCGTTAACTCTGCCCTTATCTTCTGTGTCATTTCAAGCTTCATCAATGGCACCCGCATTAGTTCTCGTACCTTAAACTCCAACAAACACCACCGAAATTTTTAAAAATCCGTTCAGTTCACCATCTCTGACCAGCTCTTCCGCCAAATCAAAGACATCAATTACGACATCACTATTTTGGCGCCGAGCCATGCACGGAAGTTGGGAAGAGGCCAGGTCTTTCATGCGCAGGGGAGAAAGCAAAATTTTATGTGAGGAGGCGTACTTCTAAAATTTTAATAATGAACGAACTTATAAAATTTTAATATGTCAAAATAGATTTTCAACAGAAAATATATTAAATTTTTTTTTAAATATATAATAATTTTAAATTTTTAAAAATACGATTGTCTCCACCCACTCCCTCAATTCATCGTTGTCTTTGTCGTGAAGATGCAGGTGGTACATACATCTTCCTCGTTCCAGTGTTCACCGTAGAGATCACTCTATTTGAAAAAAATAAAATAAAGTAAGGTGTCTTTATTTGGGGAATTTTTCTCACCTCATTATTTGGGCATTTTGCCATGATTTAAGTTAAGTTTTAATTAAAGCATTCACAAATGCAAGTGTAACTTAATGAAGGCACTGAAATTTGAATTTATTTTTATTAATTATTTATTTTACTGCAGGTGTTTACTTTAAAAATTTTATTTGTATTTATTTTATATAAAGAAATTATTATTAATATATATATATGTGCGCACTTTAAAAAAATATTTTTAAATTCACTGTTGAATTAAAGAATTATGTAATTATCTAAATTCAATTTAACCTAATATATGAATATATATATATTTTTTAAATTACGTAAAATATATAAATTGTCTCCTGATTATAGGGTGATGCTTTGTTGAGTCTCCTGACTATTAAAAGTTATAAAATGATCACTCGACTATAGAGTGTTGCTTTGTTAAGTCCCATGACTATTAAAAGTTACAAATGGTCACTCAACTATTCATATGTTTCAAACTCGTCCTTTCCTATTAAAAAAATTGACGACAATCTAAGCTAGACGTTAACCTACTGACTGAGATAAGATAAAATCTGATCACAAATTCTCAAACGACTATCATATCCCAGTAAACAGGTTAATGTCCAACTCAGACGACCGTCAATTTTTTAACGGAAAAAGATGTTTTTGGAATATATGAATAGTCAGGTGATCATTTTATAACTTTTAATAGTCGAGAGACTCAACAAAACAACACCCAATAATCAAGAGACTTAACAAAATATTATTAATTAAATATGGAACGAGCAACACAAATCCAGTTCCCATTCTTGGGGACAATTGCAGTCCATTTCTCAGGCAATAATGACATTCTATGCAAACTAATGATTCCATCTGCAGTGATTAGCAACACTGCATAAATAGTACGGTATATTTGTACAAAGCTTTTCAAAAGCTTATTCACTTCGCCTCCTTTTTGTTTTATATATTTACACCTAAGAGTTCATTAATTCAACGTATTCATTTCAAGGTTGAATCATCTATTGAATTTAATATGATTTGTTCTTACTTAAAATTGTCCTTACGTGAATGATCTTACTCGACAAACCATCACTGCTCCAAACTTCCAACAAGCTATCTGATTCGATAAGAATGGAGGAAGACTCCTTCCATTTAGATGCATTAATCACCAGACAAGCTTCAATAATTGCAATTAGTTTTGCACCAGTAGGCAAAAAGTCCAACGAATTTTGCCAAAACAGACCCTTATGATCTCGTAAAATCCCCCAATACCAGCTTTATCATGATTGTCTTTTAATGAAGCTCAATTTGTTAGATTTGGATATGAATTTAGTATTATAAAGATTTATTATAGATACGATTTTTTTTAATTGAGCTTTTCTTCATGCACATTATTACGGTACAAATTGGACATACATGTATTGTAACCCCCTAGATCCGGCCTATGCGTTTCGACTAAGTCTAGTTGATCACATTATGATTATTAAATGCATTTTTCGAAACCGTTATTCCATCAATATAAAATCACATTATAAATAACATGAAATTATAAACAAATTATACTATCAAAATCCAACTCGTAAATATAGTACCAATAAATAATAATTTAATTTAAAACATGTCTTCAAATTCAATATCACAATAAACAGAGCAGTATTAGCAAAAGAGTTATCATTATAAAATCCGATATTTTAAAATAAGGTTCATGTCACCAAAATAAAGTCAACTTGTCAGATAAAAACATTACAATCTGATTTACTTCAAGAGATATGTTGATCCTCCAAGTGCTCGAACCAAGGTATCTAACCAACAGTATCTGAAAGGGGAAAACATTTTCAAAAGGTGAGTTAGGCTCAGTGTGTCCCAACATTTCCATAAAATCACAATAGGTACAAATCATAGTCCAGTAATCTCACAAATTCGTAAAAGAGTTTAACTTTTTGAAAATCATAGTTTAAACCCTTTTCTGGTACACCATCAGTAGTTCCCAAAATTATTTTCCATATAGCTTACTTTATGCACATAGCAAAAAAAAAAGCCGACTTAAGGATAGGCTCTGAAGCTTGTATCCTTAAGAGCCTATCCTTAAGCCCAAGTCAATAAGTCCATATAGCTTACCCTAAGCACACAGCAAAGGAAAGCCGACCTAATGAAACATCTTGGGGTCCTCAAGAGTCATATTAGGCCCAGTTAGCTTGATCAGAGCTATTCCATCGTAATTCAATTCCAAAATTCAATTGCACCGTGACACAAATTCCATAAATCCAAAAACATGGTAATCATATACCATTTCAAAACAAAAATTAGTCATATTAAATTGGTGCATCAATAAAACAATAACCAATGAATTCAGTGTACCACATATTAAAACCAATAAAACAGTTCAGTAATAAGTAGGGGACACACCTCGACAATAGATTCAAATAACAAATCTACTGATTGCTGGTTTCACCACGCTCTGCTACAGTTTTCGAACGGGTGAATACTGGTACACGTGGTTTAACTGATCTAGAAGAGCTGGGTCGAGCAGTCGAACGATCCGGAGAGTCTCTTGTACCTTCAAACAATAATATTTATCAGTCCCAAATCCTATTTAATTGTTCAAAGCTAAACTTCTTAAGTATATAAGCATTTTTCGGGTTTGACTATCAATTTGAGGTATTTCGAGTCTGAATTTGGCTAAACGGATTGCGGAATCAGAATCAGGGCGTCAAAAAACATAAAGTATGACTTTCCGAAAATTCAAATTCTTGGTCAAAGTCAAAGTCAACCACTTTGACCATAGATTTGGAGACCTTCGGATTCAAATTTGACAAAACAAACCACAGAAACGGATTCGGCACGTCGAAAACTATCAGGATAGGTATACTCGGAAAAGATTAACGGTCGTTTAATGCTCGGTCAAAGCCATTTTAAGTTTTGGTCAAAGAAAGTCAACGGTCAACGGTTGGGTCGGGTCAACAGTCGGGTCGGGTCGGTCAGACCGGTCAAACCGGTTCTGACCGGTCAAACCGGTTGAAACCGGTCAAACCGGTCAGAACCGGTTGAAAACCG